TTGAACAGCGCTTTAGTTTCAGCGTCGCTTTTACTATATATATGTATATATATACATCATATACATATATATACATACATCGTATATATAAATGTAAATTTGAAGCTGACTTCGCTGACGATTTTCTCGATTGCTTCTCTAAAATATTGAATTTGATTTCGCTTTTCTCTAAGTGGGTTTTCAACTATGTATTTATCGCACTACGATTAATCGTTATCAATTGTTTGTGTGTATGTGTGTTTTGTCAGTGTTTTCTTGTGGTCTGCGTATATAATAATATCTGACTAGTTAATGTTAAACATAGCATTAGAACTAAATAAATATTATCATCGAGTAACTACAGCGTCTGCCTTTCGTTTAAATAGTTTCTTTCGTTTGCCTAAACATATATGTTAATATATATATGTGTGTGTATATATATATATATTGTATATCAAATCATATTCGTATTCCATATAAGTATCATATTGTATAATATATAAGTTATATGCTTAATAGAAAAACATGCGTAAAATTGTCTAACGGTTTGCGTTTGCCTTTGCATTTGCTAAAAAATAATTTCAACTGAAAGTTCTACACAAAATACTTTTGTTTTGTWTCGTTTCGTTTCACTAAGTACATAAAGTATTGATGTAAAATGCATTACTAGATCGGAACTAAGTGTTTTTTTTTCATAGGTTTTTGTTTGTCATTTTTCCTCTTTCATTTTTTTTCATTCGTTTTAGCAGCTTGTCAAAAACTTATCTCAAAATCGTTTATAAATGTTTCTCGTTTGGCAAACTTTGAAGTGCGGCACAGGGCTGCAACGTTGGGAGTGAAACAGCAAGATCAATTGTTTCATTCCCACATTCCAGCCCGTGGCGCTTTTCGTATTTAGCAGCCTGGGTTCAATTTAAAAACTTATTAAAAAATATGTTCGTTTCGTTTGGGCCAGCCTAAGAGCTGCATGCGCTGAGGAACGTTGGGAATGAAACAGCAAGATCAATTGTTTCATGCCCACATTCCGCAGCTGATTGCCACCAACACCCTCTTGGACCAGCCAAACGACAAACCCAGTAAAGTTTATAAAGTTCGCTGCCCACAAAAATATAGCTGGGATTTGGAATTTTCTGAGGCATTTCGGATTAAATAAAATACGTTAAAATATTAGCATCTAGGGTTACCAAAAAACTTGTTGCTCTAACAGTTTGGTTTCGGTTTCGACTACATAGAGTTTGATGTGGGTGGGTTACAGTTATCGAGGCTTAACATGTAGAAGAGCTTTACTCTGTATCTGGCATACGATATGATCGGTTAGCGCTGTCAACTAGTGTGTGGCATGTTTTGGGACTGAGATGATCTATGATGATGTGATGATGATGACGATGACGATGCACTCAACAAAATAATAATAAGAGACCAGAACATAGGCGCTACAAATGGATGTGGTTATGCATGCTTCAACTGAAAGATCTAGAAACGACTACAGACGATAGCTAGAAAGGAACGTAGAGATGAACGAACAGCGAGCAACGAGTAGGTAAACGACGAGAGCGATACGATGCGATTAGAGACAGACAGAGCGAAATAACAGAGAGAGAGAGAGATAGAGAGAAGAATAAGAAGAAGAGAGATAATAGAGTCGACAACGATGAAAGCGCATACGATAAATGTTGAGTTGAATAGTACTCAAACATGTTGTTGTTGTTACTGTTGATGTTGTTGTTGTAGTTGGTTTTTGGTTGCTTGTTCGAGTATGCAGCATATTGGGATTATATATTCATATATTTATTTAAGATTGAGTTTGAAAGTGTGGAATAATTATGAACTTAAGCATAGATTCTGACGGCACACCAAAAAAACAAGCTGCCCCGCACTCCCACCACTCCCCTCAAATCTCTACTCCACTCCACTTCAGTCCACTCCACTTAGCTGCAGCTGCAGCTGCTCCAGCCACGCCAGTGGACCCCATCCTCCTCGTTCAGTGCCAGCGCCGGCGTTGCATCAGTATCTGCTCGTGCACAATCTGCCAGAACTTGGCGTGCAGCCAGACGAGCAGCACCACCAGCTGCATGAGCAGCGGCCACTGTTGCAGTTCGTGACGTGTGCGACGCTTCAGCTGCTGCAGCCGCGACTTGGGGCCGCCCAGGAGGCAGGCGTGGGCGGCGGCTACGGGCGGCGGGGCATAGCTCAGATTGTAATTGTAATAATAGTAATAGTTGTTGTTGTAATGCTGCAGCTCTACCGGTTCTAGATCTAGGGAATTGCCAACTTGGCCGCTACATCGATTGCTCGCTAAATTGTTATCATATTGATTTGATGTTGTTATTCTTGTTGTTGTTGTTGCTGCTGTTGTTCTTGTTGTTGAATTGGTTTTTATGCTGTTGTTGTTGTTGTTGTTGTTGCTTGTTGGATGTTCATCATTACGGTATTTCTGTGGTTTGCGATAATATTACATGATGATACACTTGCCCTTTTCAGCCCACGGATTGTTCTTCTTATCGGGCGCATTAATCAATGGATCATTCTTTTCATTCTCCTCAATAAAGGAGCGCATTCTGTAAGGAAATGAATGGAAATAAAATTTTTGATTAGTTGGCGAAACTAAAGCTGTATTTTATGGTGGGAAATCTAATACATAAGTATTTTATATTAATTAAAGTATTTGAATAGTTTAGTTAGATTATATCTTTAATATTTGCTGAGAATAGGAATTGATTTATTATTAAGATTTTTTCCTGAATTAATATACATATATATTTTAATTATTAATTACGAAATTCATTATTATTATTATTAAAAATCTCCAAAGT